TTTGCCATATCAAAAAGGGGTGTTCTTGAAATTCCGTAATATGCATGTGTATTGTACTGACTGACATATGACAAGGCATGATCGCCAATAATATTAAAGGCAGAAATTTCAATGATGGTAGCAATTTCTCCTTCAAATAAACCTTCATCTGCGATTGAAACGGATGTTGTGTTTGAGAGGCCTTTATTGTTAAGATAAGCACCGACCTGAAAAAGGTATTTTTAGTAGATATTTTTGATTTTCTTCTAATATCGGTAAAGAGTACCTTGATAGTAACTTCAGTCATTGTTAAATGATTGTAAGTACATCCTTCTTGGGAACCTGTTTGAATAGATAATGTGTTATATGCTTTATGTACTTATAATAAGGATAGCAATACTAATTTAATCGAAATGTTGATAAAAATTTTGTAAAAACTAGTTGTTAAACGATCATTTCAATAAATTTTAGAAAAAATTTTTAACTAATTAAAACATATGATAGCTAATCGCGAACTATTCGATCAACTTCTGTATATTGACAAAATTGTGTGTTCATACCAAATTCATGCCAAAGTGAAGTTGTTGGTTCATTGAATGATTCTAGAGTTCTGAAAGTAAGTCCTTGTTCTTCTTTATACCATTTAACAACTTCAGTCAGATAATCAGCAAAGTTATCGTAGGAGTTTGAATTGAGGTTATTAGCGTTATTTTGACCTCCAGATGAGCAGTTACTACAAAAATTCGAGAGAGATTTGAAATAATATTTTATAAGTTTTGTGAAATTATGCTGTTTTTTTTTTTTGATTGAATGGTGGAATAGGGGATCTTGGTCATCAAACAATATGTCCGCAAGCATCAAACTTTCTGAAGAAATTCTAAATGATATGAGAAATCTTAAGGTGAAAAAGACAACAAATATAGTTAAAGAAATATTTTATTTATTTGATCCGATTTTATAACTTAACCATTTTTAATTTAAAAAAGCCTGTTGCATGGGTTTATTGGCAAGTAATTGAACATGTAGGTTACTTTTCTTTTATTTTTGTTCTAGATATCTTAATTCTGAAATATCAAGGTTTACTATATACATTAGGCTCCTAATGGTACTTATGGTGATGACTATGGCTTGATCGGTGCAGATTTTAGTAATCCAATCACTCCTCTAGACATACGTCTATCATTTTATGGATTTGCTCAATACACTAAGTTCATTCGCCCAGGTATATATTTTACTCACGTATTTTCATATTAACAATAAATTTTTTACTAAAATGCTATTTTAAAATTTCTTTAGGATATCAAATCATTTCTTCTGATGATGGAGATACTCTTGCCGCACAAGATGCCAGCAAAAAAACGCTTGTTTTAGTTTGCACAAATAATAATAATGCATCAGACGTTTGGAAAATTAATGTTTCTAAGTTTAATATCAGTTCATTTAACGCTTACCGTACATCTGATGAC